TATATATATATATATATATATATATATACTATATAAACCTTCAAGCATTATCATAAGTACCGTATAAACTCTCTTGTAATTGATATTCTTAAAAGATGACATTGTTTTACATTGCTTTCTTTTAAATAAAAAAAATTATTGATAAGTAGCAGAAATTTGTATTTCAAACTTTATTTGTGCGTAAACTGAAAAAAGTATTTACAAAAAATATTTACTTCTACACAAGATGAACTAACTTTTTACTTAAATTTTGTATTTGACATGAAATAAAATCATTCTATCCGAAGTATGAAAACTTGAACGTTCAAATAGCACTGAAGAAAAAGTTAATGTCGTGAGCAAAATTTAGAAATGAGAAAAACCAAAGAAATTATTATCTATTGAGCGATATTTGAACTTAATTTACAACTTTATCAATATAAAAGTCAATACTTATTTGATAAATAGAAACAACTATGTAAAATTTTTTATACAGTTAACCCTTCATGTACTGCAAAACAAAAATACTTGACGTAAATGAATTCTAAGTGGAAATCATTCAATGTATTATTGCCAGTACTGCTGTGAGAAATTTACCAGAAGCATTAACAATAACATAGAAATTGAAAAATTTTTAAATAATAACAAATTATAGAATGAAATGAACTGAAGTAGACAAAAATGTTCACGCAGAAGAAAAAAAAAGTTGCTTTGCAACTCCGACTAACCTTTCAATCCATCTGTTTCGTTCACGTGGGTTACGACAGGCGTAGTAAGTATTTTCAAGTCTGAAGCAGTTTGGTACGTTCATTGCTGACAAGTGAATGGGATGAATACGCATTTCTGCTCCATCTCAAAATAAACCGCGAGTTTTTGAAAGCAATTTAGTTGTAAAATATAAACATAGCTTCAAGTTCGCGCACGAGCAAGTAAAGTGATTAAATCTGCTCTTTTTTATTGAATGAAGCATTGTATTCATATTGCTACACCACACTTTGTGATCACTCAATCAAATCAATTTGGATCTGCACTGCACTGCTCATTCATTCAAACGGTCAGATATATCACATCTCACTTCATCTTAAATGTTTGCAAAATAATACTTTTGATTGTAAAAACTATTAACTAAAACTTAAAATTCTCATTTAATCTGAAGTAGTCAGAAACAAACCCAAGTCAATCATATGCGTTGCAGAGGAATATGCTAACAAACTTTCATGCGAACGACTTGGTCTTAATGAATCTTTTTCTCGTTGCACTGGAAAATAACGGCGAAATACTGAATGGCCATTCACCGCTTGATCCACGCCACAAACGTTTTCTACGGATCGTCGAAGGATATTACGTGCGTTTCTGAACATCAAATTATTAAAGTGTCATAAATAATATAAATAAAACCGTAAGAAAAGGATTCATCTCATAAGTTTCTATTACTGTAAACAACTCTTTTGGATAGTAGCTGATGAACTAACGAAGAAAAGTGAGCAAATTATTAAAAATCACATTAGAAAATGTAATAAATTTTCATCACAAAGTTAGTTTGTTTTTTGTAATATTGTACAAAATAAATGATTTTGAATCAGACTTCACGAGGAGAATCAAGCCATTGCATATAGTTAAGAAACAGAAATATGTCTGAGAATATCCGACCCAATTATATGCGATGAACCTGTTGCAGAGAGGAACTTTGTTTAGCATATTTCTGATTAAGATTATTCAGGACTTCTCAGATAAGGTACAGTTACTTTGTGTTTGTTTCAAGAAAGCACAAATGAGAGATCACTGATAGCTTGGCACTGACAGAACTTAAATGTCCTTTATATGGTCTTTACACGATTTTATACACACATCAAAAAAAGTCACATAAATGTTTAAATTAGAGAACGAAAATTATTTGCAAACGATTTCAAAAATGCTCACTGCCTAAAGGAAATATTATAACAGATCGAAATTAAGTTTCTAGAATTCTGAAAAATTGAATGCCATACATGAAAAGGTATGATAAATAAGAAAATTATAACTTTAGTACTACCAATAATGATGATATTTATTATTATTTCAATATTATTATTATTATTATTATCATTATCATTACTATTGTTACCATCGTAACTAATATCACAATTTTATTATAAGTAATCAATGAGAATTTTACTATTATTATATGTGATTCTACTATTATATATTTTTGTTATGATAGTTATTATTATAATTAGCATAGTTATTGATAATGGTGATAAGAGAATATTGGTTAGTGGAGTTGATTAATAGAAATTTTATTTTTATTGTAGTGATGGAAATGAATTCAGGTATAATTTCAAAATGTTTTATGTGTTATAAGAAGAATTACTTCTAACATCCCAAACAGCACAAAAAGTACTGAAATACTTGACAAAAAAGATTTTTTTCAACAAGTTTGTGATACGTATTGGCAAAGTGAGCTAAATGTAAGCTAATTGCAATTTTCCGTAAAATTTTTGGAAATTTGTGGCATTTGCAAAAAGTGTAAATATGTGCAAAAATAAAAGCTATCTCAGGGCATTTTAAACACTTTTTATGCAAAAAGTTGATAATTTAATGAAGTGCACAATCAGACCAAAATTTGCACTTGGATTATCTTGAAGTCCGTTTAGAAACAAACAAATTTACAATTTTTAGCGTGCTTAATTTACCTTCCATTTATGAGGAATTGCTTATCGTTTACATCAAAAAGTAGCCAAATAAAAAATACTGTCTGAAAGACTGAAAATCAAACATTCAGGTTACTACTCAGCAATGTTTTGTGAATTCTTCAAAAACTTGTTTTTGTGCAGCAAATTTTTATTTTTTATATTTTTTTATTTTTTTTTATATTTCACAAATTCATGTTGTTACAGCTACTGCAACATGAGTTTGATTTTCTACCAGTAAATTGTGTACTGCAAATAGTTATGTATATTCTGTGGGATGAACTGGTGTTTGGCAAATCGCAGACAGACACAGATTTACAGATGAGAATGAAAAATTTATTAAACTATTTTAAAGCTATTTGTCAAAGTTCTCACGGACTATTTAAACTTTATTGCAATTTGAAGTGTTAATTTTTACTGATTTTGACAGCATTGCCTCGACTTAACGTCGTCTGCTTACTGAAACTAAAATTTTGACATTATTTTTCATACTTAATCTATAAGCTCATTTTTACGTGATAGAATTATTAGTCAGCAAAAGCTGTTCAATATTAAATTAAAAAGTAATTGATTTATGATGAACAGAATAAAATTGGAAATAAAAAATAATACAGAATTTTCATAAGAAATAATAATTTTTCATATTAGTACGGCATCAGCTCAGATAGTTTCACTTCTTATACATTAAATAAAATATCAGAATGGAATAAGTTCTCACATTTTTTAAATTCGAAAACTTACAGATTATTGCGACTGCAATTTCGTTTTCTCTCCAACTTTGTGGCACTTTTTGTTCGTTTCAGTGCATTGCTTCGAAATGGTCTCGAAAAAAAATTCTGCAACTTCGCTAAATGCATTAATTTTTAGCACTGATAAACTAAAAAAAGGAAAAATATATTTTTAGGATACTTGATTTTTCTTCTTTATAAAATAAATTTATTTTATTGGAGTTAGAAGAATTGGTCTGAGCAATAATATATTCATATATTCGAGGTATAGTGGACGGTAAGCTTTGTCTGATCTTGAGAGTTACAAATTTTTCATCACTATTTCTGGTTTTTGTCCCAATCTTTTCTACCCTCATCTGTTATAGGGGCATTATTGTGACCTGTTATGGAGATAAATGACGACAGTACCAATGCCAACAGCTACAACAACAAGAGCAGTAAGAACGTAACAACGGTGTAAATGGTAGCAGAAGGATGGAGAATTGTAGCAATCAATAGATCAGTTATTTAATGTCTAAGGAAAGTACTTCTGGAGAATCACTGTCAGGTGACTTTCACAAAGCGATAAGAAGTAATGGGCCATAACGATTATGCTCATACAACCCCTTTATATTGGTACTTCTGATGCAATTAAAGAAGAATAAAGAAGATACGCAAGGGGTGAGCGGAGAGCAAGAAAAAGAATACTGCTAAAAAAGTTAGAAACTCTAAAATACAATAATGTTGTTTGCAGTCAAAGCAGTGCGTGTTAGACTTTAAGAAGTAAAATTAGAAATTATGGGTCTCGATGTGAGTTCAAAATCTAAAACGCTAGATATGAGCTCCTCAGAAGACGATTCTACAGGACTATTACACAGCCACAATGTAGTAACAGATGAAATTGGAGGTCACGATGTGAAACCTGGGAAGGGAGAGGATGATCTCCTTCATAACGAATGTTTGAAAGAACTCAGCACATAATATGAAGCGCTGGCTGCTATCTCACCTAAAGCCAAACTTGGAAAGAAAGTTTTCTATTTGCGCAATTTGAAGGCGACGGGCCTGGATGGAGTCCATCAAGAAGAATCTCCTTACATCCCAATTTATAATAAGGTGGATTTGCCTGAATGGGAAGGAACAGGACTGATAATTCTAAAAAAGGACTACCTACCTGATTCTAAGTGTCTTAATAAAGGTAGCGAGTGCAGGCCGATAACCTGTATATCGAACCTTTACAAGTCGACAATGAGATATATAACACTTGTCATTGAATTGGATGTTGTGGATAGGAATTGTTGCTCAAATTTAAGGTGCGAAAAAGCAGGCGCTATTAAACTGGCAAAAGCATTCTGTTCAAGAGCTTGTTACAAATGAGAACGTGTGGCGTCGATACATAGAAACAGTTAGAAAGATAGGTTGCCGATCGACCGGATATCATGATCTACAGTGAGAAGCGATGAAGTAATCCTGATAGAAGTTAGTATCACTAGTCTGGACTCATTGATATCAGTGTAAAGCGAGAAAGGATTACATACTTGTTAATAAACTTGAGACAAGGATGACATGCAAGACTAAAATAATTCCGTTACTGATGGCGTGGGATGGAATAGTGAACGAACTCCCACAAGCGCTGCGTCAAGAAAATCAGTGTATCTGATCATGTCAAGGCGCACATCCAAAGAATAGTGCTCAAGAAGATGCTCGAACGTATCTCATTCGATCATCGCTATGGATTTTACGAGGACGAAGCAACGGAGATCAGCAGAACAAAAGTAAGTGCTGAACAAGCACAGGCAAAGTTAGTACCAGTAATGTAAAAAAAACTAGAAACAGTGGGTTTGATATGTACAATTAATGTATGGTTCAGTAAACATTGTCCGAATAAGCGATAACTGAGAACCACTTTCCCAGAGTTTTATACTATTATGAATAACAAAATTGTAATTGTTTTGTTTTAAAAAGTTGGAATTAATTTCCAAAATTTTTATGCTAGTACTCTTCTGAATCAGTTCGCCTTGAAAAATATTTAAGCTGTCTGCGAACTCTGTAGCAGTTTTGTAAGCTTCGAGGCATTGCTTCTAAATGGTCTTCCGGATTAATTTGCTATAATTTGTAAAGTTAATATCTTCCAGCAAAAGTAAAAGCGAGACGATAAAAACTTTTCCACGGCTGGTATGAAAGCTTACAAATTTTTTCAGCAACTCTTATCATTAAGATTTGGTAGTGGACTATGTCAAATATTATAATAGTATCTGCGAAAACTATCAGCTTGAAGATTCATCAAAAAATGCTCATATAATTGATATATGGGACTTCATTTTGTTGGAAATTTGAAAGTTTTAGAAGTTGCTGAAACGAAATTTTCAAAAGTACGAAATTCATTCTTAATCCAGAAAGTTTTCAAATTAACTAATGACACTACTTGCTAATGACTAATGATACTATTTGTTGCCTTATTAGTACTATTTACAGGCGATAGTAATAAGAAGGATTGGTATACTAAAACGGTTCTGCAATTTATTGGTAAGTTCTGGATTGGTTGGTATTACACTAATGACTAGCAATTTAATATCCATATAATTTATGAGGATTTTCGGTCTCTCTGTTGTAAATTTCGACTTTAGAAAAACTTCGTAGATATAAAGTTTTATAAGTAAATATGTTTTTAATGACAGGAAGGCTCGTTTTAGAGAAATAATACTGGAATATATCAAAAGAATCAAAATTGTTTCACATTTATGCTAATTAGGTCGAAGATGAAATCATTTCAGCTTCTGAAAAATGGTTTTTTACCGAGAATACTAACTGGATTCAAGCTTCATTTTGCTGCAAGTCATTTTTATTACATTTTAAAAACTTAGTTGTTAATTAAATGAAACTGAAAGTGAAAACGATTTTTACTGGAAAAGTATGTCTCATTTAAATGAAATTTTAAATGATCATTCAAATTAAAGCCAGTTGTTGCTTTTCATTTCTAATTCTAAAATTGTTATTACTAATATACTATTATAAACAACAAAAATTATTTATCAGCACCGGTACTAATCTTAAATATGTAAACTGACGACAAACTTTTTTTTAATTACAAAATTAATGAATTCGAATTTACAGTTAGGTATTAAAAGCATGAGTTTCATTACTTGAATTCCAATTTTCATATGTTACTTGAGTAAAAACTTTAAGTTTCGCCAAGAAATAAAATTCTATATTCTATCTGCAAAAGTTTTGTATGCTACACAGAAACAAAGACAAATAATTATACTAATTTTTTAGCAAAAAATAAGTTCTTAAAAAGAATCAGATAAGGAAGTGTATGATTTAAGTGCAAGTGGAACCAGTTTTTGGGTTATCCTAATTTGTTTTTGCACAATTTGGCTGGTTTTACCTCAAAATTAAGAAGAAAAAAGGTGAAACAGTGTTTATTTATGCACAAAATGGATGGTATTCTAGAAGACTGCAAAGAAAATGCTCGAATAAACTCGTTAATTGTTAAAAGTTCTCAGAGTTAAAGAAAATCATCATTAATAAAAAACGTAATGTTTCAAACTTCTAAATTCTGAACCTTTCATTGAAGATGTGACTGAATGCAAGAATTCATAAGAGCTATTATCATTTCAGTTCTTTTAAATAAGGTTTGAAAACATAATGACAGTTTTATGATTAATATACAATTATTGCGATTAAAATCACTACTTCTGATACTATCAAATATTATTTGATTGCAGAAATAATCATACCGCTAAACGTTGCGGAGTTGTTGGTTCTTCAACAATAGCAATGCCTGGACCTTCCTGAAACAACATTCAAACTCTTATTTTGCTTTCAATGAAGAACAGACAAGCTTTTTTGTAATTTAATGAAATTTGAAATTTATTTTATCATTTAAAAAATCTTGAAAATTTTAAATGAACATTGATTTCGTTCTCGAATGGTTACCGTGAAAATAAGAGCGAGTGATGTACTCAAAAGAACTTGGAGTTTTTGCAATAAATTTTTATGCTTTCATACCTATAAAAACAGCGTAAGTAAAGGTAAAATTATTTATACAAAAAGTATGCTGACTTTAAAATTAAGATGATGCATCACTTAAATGAAATTTTTACTGGTTGGAAATTAATAAGTATACTTTTGAATTTAAGAAATCTTTCTTATGCTACGAATAAGCTGGACAAGAAATGAAGAACTTACAAGGGAAAAAAAAGGAATATTATGAGTTGCGAATGTTGAACTTCGATGAAGAAACATATTATATTTAAGTTCATTTATTTCTCGACTTAGCTTTTAAAAGTCAGAGCTGCAAAATGAAAGCTAACTTGAAATTAAGCAAACTTAAAAGTCAAAAATGAAAATATGAGAATAGATGAATGTGCTAGGTATATGAAATACAAATGTAGTAAAAATGAAGTGATGATGGAGGTGAAGTTTTGCATTTCTTCACATCGCCTCAGAGAACATTACCGATGTTGTAACTTTGAAGACGAGCTGAGCAGTGGGAAGCTCGAGAAGTTAGCCGAAATTACGCTTACACTTCTCGTTTCATTTCACTAATTATTACAATTTTCGATAATTATTTTTTATAGCAATAAACGCTCCACTATGAACTGCAAATAGTATGCATTGGCATTTGCTTGTGTCTTAAAGTTTTAGTGATAATTTTGCTTCTATTTCAGTTCTTATTTTGATCCTGAGTGCTGGAACCGTTTTTTTTAATGATAAAATTAAGCGAATTTTATCATTAAAAAGCAGATAAGGTTTGTTTCAAAATCGAAACTGCGAAAGCCAATGAATTTTTTTTTGCAAACTTTAAGGCACGAAAAGTGATAGAATAACAGAAAATTTGTTACAGAGTTTTGAAATATCAGTTGCAACTGCACCTGAATGCTATTTGTTTGTACTGAATTATAATAACATCCACTTATTAGGAACTGATTGAAGGAAAGTACTGAAATATATGCAGATGCTAGAAGCTATGCAGTTTTGATGCGAAAAAACACAAGTGCAAAGTGAGATACTTGTAAAAGTACTGCAGTGTTCACAAATGCAAACTCACGCATCACTGATGGAAGAGTTAATTAGTTTTGACTTTTGACTGATTTAAAATTTAAATCACTCAGAGATTTCATTGCTAATTAAAAGTTTTCATTTCATAGCTGAATAGAGAGAGTTCTTATCAAAACTGATAAGCTAAATTAATGGCAATTTTGCTTTATACGCTATGATATGGAGTGCTACTGCCGTGATTGCTACCATGGCAAATATTTTTCCCAAAGATTTCTGGACGCAATTCGAAAAATTATCACTATGTGATGCAGAAGTGCTGCAAAGTGAGTACTAGCAGCGAAAGTCTAGTGCAGTTTTTAAACTACAGAGGGTCAACTTCACAAAGTGAACCTTTAGGAAGTTATGTTTCCTATACAGCTGAAATTCAGTTCAGAATTTCATGTATGGTTCACTTACTGAATTATGAAAAAGTATCTAATTTCTTTACCAAAAACTGAAAACTAATTACCAAAAACTGAAACTTATTTGAAATTCATCATATTTATAATAGACATAAAAATGCTGATGTAATTGAAATTAAATTCTGCTTTATGACTATAACGGATATATATAGTCTCAAGAGAATAATATATGAAAATAAAAATTATCTTTTCTTAAAAAAGTTCTAAAGTATGCACGCAAGTGCACAGAAGACATATCTGAAATGATAAAATTCCTCCATAAATCCTATGTAGTTTCCTTTTTTTGCACTAATTAAATCAGCCCAAAATGCTTCTACTAACAACTGCAATCTTACTTTCTATGCTCATTCTATGATCGTTGGACAAATGCATTGGGAGACACGCTGTAGACCTCAAAGTGTATGCAAAAGAAGGAAGGCTGTAGAAAATTGCTTAATTATAAGGAGGAAACTTTATAAAAGCATTAAATTATTCTCACTTGGCTAGTGACCGATGTGCTATAATTTTTGCCCATCAGCACTGAAATATTTTTTATAATTTCTTGAATTTGCGCTGGCTGACTTCCAAAAAAAACGCAATTTTATTGCTTCAAAGTGCTTTTGAACCCACCAAAACCAAAATTGATCAATTTGTCAATTTGTGTGATTTTAATTTTCTCAACCGAAAATTTCTGATTTTACTCTTTTTAATACCAATAAATTTAAGAGTAAAATTTGAAATTATTGTTTTTATTGGTGAGCAACAGTTAGAAAACAATCGCAACTTAATCAAAAAATGAACAATGGAATGCTTAGCAAAACTATCCACAGAGAAGAATTTGAGATGACAGTAAAGCAGTTATCTTCTTGAATTTGTAGAAAAGAGCTTTTAATTATAAAAATGATTATTTTAGAACAAACTTTCGAGGTTTCAAAGCAAAATGATTTATCAGTGATATTAGTGTTTAAGACTATTAGACTCAATTATATGAATGTCATCGAACAGCAAACGTTTCGAAAATTGTCAGAAAGAATTAAATATGTTTTAAAATAGCAGTTGTTATAAATAATACTTTTTAGGAATTAATAGTATAAATTAAGTTAAGCATAAGTCGTCACAAACTTGATGATAAATAGCACCATTGTGATTGATGGTGGACGCGGAAAGAAGGTTACGTGCCGTACCATTAATGGTATGTCCAGCTTTCAAGTCTTGCCAAGTGTGTCGATCTAAGGATATCTGCTCAAAGCATGTCTCTGAAAATCATTAAATTCCATAAATTTTAAAAGCATTCAATGATATCAACAAAGACAATTTAGCTGGAACATCAAAAATTGTGGAGCTGAATAAATTTCATCAAAATAAGATAAATTACTAGATAAATTACTGGTTCTAAACTTCACTGTAACTCATAATATCTTCTAGTATATGATTAAAAACTGCTAGTCATCATTTTGAAATTAGAAGTAATAGCAAGAGTTGATGTTTGACTTCCCAGTGTTACAAATAAGCTTAAATTTCATTTACTAAAATTTATGTTTAAATTGAATTAGTAAAGGCCATATGTCAACTTGCAGTGGCAAGCTTAATTTCTTTGTTTCTTGCGGAATTCACATTTACCATTGCAGCAATCTTAGATTACAATTTTGGTTTGGAAGATAACTCAATATTACTTAAACTATCACGTGGTTTTCTCACATAGCAAATTTCACCAATTTTCTGTAAAAGTGTTGATGGAAATGAGATAAACAGCATAAGAGGCTGTATTTTGAATATAAGGCTTGATACTGAAAACGATTAGCAGTCCAAATAAGTAAATGATCTCATAGGATGAAGAGTTCTATTTTTATCGACGACTGATAGATGGAAAAATCAGCGTAAAATGAAGTCATAAATTATGAGGAAATAATTTCGAACAGTCAAGATTATGAATATTGTTGACTGAATGAATGACTGATAAACTAAGAGTTCTTAAAGTATTGAAGTGAAAAATTTTATTTTCATCAGAAATAAATAAATAGATTGAGATTGGAAATTTGCACAGATTTTGATTGTTTCAATGAATACTTTGACCCTTTGCAAGACTTTATTTTACTTTTTTAGAAAGCGAAAGGCGAATTACCGTCATCGATTTCTTCAGGGATGACATTCAAGGAAGTATGCGTAAAAATCCACGGATTCAACGAGTAACAGCGACGCATCGCTTCCCAACAGTTAATATTACATACTTTTCACTTCCATTACTGTCATTTTTACCCACTTTTTATATTTACCAATCTTTTAAGAGCTAAATGTAGTGCAAGTAATGGACATAAAGAGAAATGTTGATCAAACAGCTTGTTAATTTGCAAAATTTGCGTCTAAAAAGTAGTACACATAACTAAGTGCCTTTAATAACAATTAATCACATTCGAGTGATAAATTTTTGAGTACAACAGCAAAGTGAAGGTGGATGTGAAAGATTTAACAAATCTTTCTCGGGTCACCAAAGGATTAGCAGTAGATCTGTTGGGATGTGAAAAAGAGAGCAGCGATTGCTTGCTGCAATCGAACAAGTATTTTGATAGTAATTTAAAGAGTGCAATGCTGCATGCACCTCGCGCACTATTCGAAAGGGCTGATATTGGCAGTGGACTGTGGAGGGTAGAAACTTTCTCATTATCTCTAGCAGAAATATGTGAACTGCTCGCTGTACTGCAATCCTCACGAGCTGCCCTCACACTGTCATTTTTTTACCTCAGCTGCACTGCTGTGCCACACATCACACAATTCGTGCTGCTGCTTCTGTTTATTTACGTTTCAAATCCAAGTAACAATGCCTACGAGTGATGTCAATTTTGATTCAAATTATCATAAAAGTATCAGTATTGTCACATTTAATTCAAATACTTTATTGAGACATTTGAGAATGGACTGTTTTGCTTCTCACATTGTCATAACAACTAATTTCTTGTTTTTCTCATTTGATATCTTAGCAAGCCATTCCACAAGGAATGAACGATTTAACTACTGACAACACAGCGCTCGAAGTACTAAATGAAATTACAGACATGTTGGGAAAAATCTATTCGGATCAATTGAAGTGCGATTAATCTTCTATGAACGCACCAATGAATAAATCCAATTAATTGCACATTTTCAGACGGTTTTCCCTTGAACTATGTAAGACGATTAATCACCCGAAAAATCAACCGATCAGCGACAACTTTTAAACAACTTGAACTAATTTTGCTAATCTCATCCTTCAAAAATCGGACCAGAATTGATTACTTTAGTGATTGATAAATACTTATCTGATGTAGGAAAATACTGTTTCAAATGCTTAGTGAAACAACTTCTAGCTTGAGCTGATTATTGCTCCTAATTATGGAAGTATTTTTTTAGCTGATTTCATGCGCGAAATGTTTTAGTTCCACTTAACGCGATTATCGTTTCTTCGTATTTAATCACATTTATTGTTAACAAAAAAAAGTGCCAAATGTTTACAAAAATTAGACAACTGAAACTTAGTTATCCAATCAAAAGACTTCAAAATAACTCATCAAAACCCCTCAATAGCTGAAATGTTTCTGGCTATTTTACTTCAGAAAAGTCAGTTAATAACAATAGAAGCTCAGGGCAGCTTGCATCCATCGTTGCAGTGATTTCTATCAAATAATTAGAGTTATGCTTGGATTATTATTTGCATGTAACACGAACACTACTGAAAAAATTTATGTCAAAGTAAAGCCACAAGAGGAGCATATCGGCGTGATTATATCTTTGTATTAATTTTTACTACTTTATTTTGTTTCACAATGAAATCTATCTAAGTATAAAATTTGCATTTGTTTTTATAAAGCTCTTATTTCGATATTGTCATCTATCGTCATGTGATTGTCTGCAAAACTATATGTGAAGAAACTGATTGATTACGTTAAAACTCTTTTCTGGTAACAATAATATAATGATAGAAGTCAATATTATTATTTCAATTGTTATGACTATTAAGATCATAGTTAAATCATAATAATGATTATTGATATATTATAATTATAATTATTATTATTATTATTATTACTATTATTATTATTAAACATTAATAATGACTGTAACAGCAAGAAGAATGAAGTAGTAATAGTGCTGATAATGAGGACAATTTGAATTTTTGCTCTGATGATTACTGAAGATGTGCATTACTGTTGCATTAATTATAAATAAGGAAAGCTTGATAATGCAGGTTGTAATAGTAAGCGAATTAACTGTGTGATTTTAAACCTCCAAACCTTTTCGAGCATATGATTTCTACAGAATTACGATAATTCGAATCCAAGTTAATCGATAATTCTGTTAATGAACGTAATGAAGTAAAGAAAGTTTTCGATTTGAAAAATTTGATATAAATTTTGAAAGTTACATAAGATGAGCAGTAACAGATTTTTGTTTGCACACTCTTCCAACATATTATGTAAAGAATAAAGTCTATAAATAGATAATGACACAAAGACTAGGTCAATAGCTCAATTTTCAGTATAGTGTGTTTTTTAAAAGCAATCAAGTTTAAATGTAATTAGTGATGTCTTGCATTAATTGCAATAGCAGTTTTTAAAAAGTATTCATTGGTTGTAATTTGCAGTAAATGTCACGTACGTCAGTTCATATCTGATCAGTAACGATCAAATTGAGAAGTGTGTCCAATTTAACGATTATTCTGGCTGCAAATAACCGTTGTTCATTCGAGTGTAGAATAATATCTTTGCTGTAATGTGGCAGCACCTTATTCACAGTGTTTCTTACATTACGTCCAATAGATCAAATAGTTTTTAAAAAAAATTGTTGAGTTTAAATATGCAAATAACTGAGAGGCAATATCAAATTTTTGTTATAAATTGAAAGAAGATCATTCAAATGTTAGCAGTAGCTAACTAGTTTTTAGTAGAAAAATGCGGATTTGCTAATAAATTGTGCATTAAAAGTATTATCATTTGCTATTAAATTTGAAATCTATTTTTTTTAATTTTATAGTACAAAAGCTTTGTATTCATAGTGTTTCTCACATTTCAAACATCAAAATTTTCATTAGGACACTTAAAAAATCTTCCACTTTGGACGTTTGAATACATTTAAATTTGCCACTACATTTTATTCAGATGTATATTCTGGAACACAACAAATAAGTTATATTAAAATACTTCAAAATAGAATACTGGAATTTCATTCTTTGTTCTATTAAATATACCGTATATATATTATATATATTGACTATTGTGATAAAATTTATAGGCAATCAAAGTTAGTGATTATATCATTTTTTTTTAATTAAAACTTTTGCATAAATTAACGCCTCAGTGATGCCATACTTTCAATCAAATTTTTACCACTGTCAATTAGCAAAGCAAAAAAGCTTAAAAAATAAATTCTCAATAAATTATTAAAACTCAAAAAAGTTTTTCATGGTCGTTTATGAAAGAAATGTATTTTTTTTAGAAAAAGCCAACATGTAGGGATAGATAAAAACGAATTATAAATGAGTTTCCGCTTGAGATATTTCTACACATTCAACTTTTCAGTTCTATATGCTCACTTTTGCAATAATTCCATTTTAGGATTGTACTTTGACACGAATGGCAAATAGTCAGACGCATTTTCCGTCTCAGTTCAGTAAACGGTAAGGCAAGGAAGCTTAAGGACCTGAAGTGCTTCCGAGAGTAACGCGAAAGCAGCCAAACAGTAAACTGATATGCAATTTTTTCACCTCACTTTAGGCCTTTTTTCCTTCATAATTTTCTGAATTTTTTCAAATGTCTTCCAAAAATAACGTTACGTTTTTGAGATTTTCGATATTTTTCAAATTTCATTTATTTGCTTCCTATGAAAGTCTTCAGAAAGTTTCAATAGGTAGCCATGTTTGACACATTTTGAAAAATTTGTCTTTAGAATCTATTCTGAAGACTTTTCTGATTTCGAAAATTTTTTATTCATCTTTTTTCAGAGATGTTTTTCTTACTGAGCCACTTCTCCGATTTCTAAGTTAATATGCTTGAGCTCAAATTTTTTTGTCACAATAAATATTCATCATCATATCCAAAAATATTTTACGATATAATTACTTTTATGCCGTAGACAAAAGATTGAAAATTGAAAAGACCTCAAACCAACTTTTAATCATTTTATTAGAAATTTCAGAAATTTCGTTGAAGGGAAGAAATTAACTTTTCTGAATAAGTGGAAAGATATGATAGAGCAGTTCAGTTTTTAATAAAATTTTAATTATTAAATTTTCCATTTATTTGTGAGTTATTTATTACTTTTCTCAAATTTCCAATTTGCTGCATGCAATTTCTGCCGAACTCTTTTTGTTTTTCATTCTTGAAAATTTTTTCTGCACAGCAAATTCTTCACAATTTTTATGCTTCACAAATCGAAATTACTTTTTAAAAAATGAGTTAGTTCACTGTCCAGTAAAACATCAAAGTTGAACTTCCTTCACTTTTTTTTCAAAAAAGTTTTTCTTGAAGACATTACTTTTTTCGGGGTCTGAAGCAAATATTAAAAAAATAAAAGTCGCTATTTGATAGTTGTTTTTGAAAAATAAAAACTGTTATTGCTTGAAAAATACTGTATTGTTAAAATTAATCGGTCTAATTAAAATAGAGTAATTTCTAAGAAAAATAAAAAGTTTATGATTCAATTTCCAGAATTTGCAAATTGTATAAAGATATTCAATTTCAAAGAAATAAACAGCATTATGCTTCAAGGTGAACATAGCTTTCAACCTGAAAAATTGCTTCGTATTTTCATTTTTTCAGCTTATTCAGAAAGGTTTTTATTTCGCATAAATGAAAATGCGTTTGCATTTATTTAATGCAAACTACTTAGAAAGCCAATTTTGCCTCAGGCAGAGCACTTGGACATTGCCAGAAACAACTGAGAAAAAAACACTTCTGATGCAAAGTGAAAGTAACGGTGACTGTTACCAATTCTAAAAAGGCTTTTCAAGGCCTGACTCCACAGCTTTTCTTTAGAGCTTTTTTCAGATTATTTAATTGTTTTGCTTTCGGACACTTTATGTTTTCCAAAGCAAATGAAATTACTCCTACCAAGAGTAAAATAAGCTGATTTTTAGATCATTTTCAAACCTAACGAAACTAATAAACAATTGCAAACAATAATTATAAAATTGAAAAAAACACAGTGCTTTAAATGTCACACTTAATAATAAATGTATTTTTGCGAGAAATAGAGAATCACACTTGGGTACAAAAAGCTTTGAACAGTTGTCCATGCATAAAATTTTATATTAAAAAATTTTCTATGCAAAAATTAAAATGGCTTTTTTAAGTTCAAATCTATGCGAGATTTCCAATTCTCTTATTCACATAAAAAAATTAATGAGGCAACAATACATACAGTAAAAGTGCTACACAAAGATAGTACTTTTTTGACACAAACTTGTGAATTTTACAAATGCTTTCTTATTATGCTGAAATTCTCTTAAAGTTCGTTGTAATTTTCTTCTGATTTTTTGAAGTGTTTTGACAGCGTTTTTTTGCATAGCACCAAAACTCCATGCTTTTAGATATTTTTAAACTTACTAAGGTGATCAATTCTCTGCTACATTTAAAAACTCAAAGTATTCCTCGGAGCTGAGCTTTGATGTGATAAAATGTTTCAGATTATTCGATTAAACGTTGATACTTCATTGTTTACTCGAATTGAAGCTTTTAAATCTTAAAAATTGATCGAGCATTATGTAATTTCTAAAAATTTTGTATTTTTCATAACCAAAGAAATGAAAAAGTCAAAAGTGTAGCATACTTAATCTGCCACTGTTTTCATTTATTAAAGAAGTGTTAACATTTCATTTTGTTCTTACTATCATCAAAATTTCCTACAGCTTGTTAAAATTTTAAAATGACAATATGAAACTATAGATTATTTCAATATTTTTTTCACAGAGATCCATACAAATATGGAGAAATGAATATTTTTTTTAAGCTGCAAACAAATTCAAACTTAGCTCTTAGAAGTAAGAGCGCTGCATAAACTATTTATTTTTTTAAACGAAAATAATGTGCTCTGAAAAACAAAATGAGAAGTTTTCGTGTGGTAAGAAATATATTGGATGATATAATTAAGGAAAAGAAGAAACTGAGTAAATTAATCAGAAAATTTGTCGGAGCAATATTTTCTGCCACTAACTGATAATAATTATTAAAATTAAATAAAAAATGTAAGAAAAAACGAGCACTAAATCATGTTATGAATTAGTACAACGAAGTCAGTCACAACACAAAATTTGTCCAATTTTGTGATGAAGCGAACAAACTTTGAAACTGCAAGTTTTTGCAAAAATGAGTTGTGAAAAAGTTTCAAGTGCGATAAACAAATTAAAAAGTCATTACTTATTTAAAATGGTTCTTTTTCATATGATGTACAGCTTTTGCTTTTTTGCAATTTTCGCTCAGTGACTTTGCCATTTTTTATGATTTGTTTTATTTTTTCAAAATTAAGTTTAAATGCTACGTTTGTTCCATTTAATGACTTCCGTGTGGAAAAAGTCAAGTATAGGAGATATTTTGTATTGACTGAATGTAAAGTATTGCAAACAGTTGTTGCTTGTTAACTGTATGATATAGACACAATGCAAAGTGGCATATTTACTTTGCAAATATTCAATGATATTTATATATGCAAATAATAAATGCTATGCAAATAGTTAAAGTACTAAGAATTTTCATTCTTTGCTGGCTAACTTTCTGCGATCGATGAAAAATAGTTCGGAATGATAATTGAAAAGAAGAAATTTAAAAAAAAGGGCTTCAGAAGTTTTAAAAGTCCATTTTTTTTTTTGAAAGCTGCCATGTTAACTCCAGAGTAATTTGCCTAATCTGATAACTTGCACACTTTCACTTCAATGATAAGAAAATGTGATAACAACTTGCTGATAAATTGTATGAATTCTATCAAAGTAGTAAAATGAAGTGAAATCTGAAAATAAGCAACTAAAACTTGCAACTAAGCATATCTTTTGGTGATAAATTTACTGAGTGAAAAAAATCAATTCAGTAAGAGTAAATGCTGATAGTACCTTCGTTAATTTGTCCTGACTGGAATACATCATCCGATGGAATATTTAAGAAAGGTAAGCGCTGCTGTTCATCATATCCTTTTTGTAATGAGCTACCAGCTTGCCATCTCATTTTGCAACTAAGCATTTGGCAGCGCGTCTGAATCCATATAATAACTCGTAAAAAGAAACGCCAGAAAGTCGTTAAAACACTCTGGGACATTGCTTCAGTTCAATAATTCTAGTTAATTGCAATAATTATCGCTGTTCTTGATGATTATCGCATGAACAATCATAGCCTTATTGTAGAGGGAAATCATAGGAATAAGCAAGAGGTCGGGCTAAATTTGAGGAGAAAAGCAGAAGTTTGGGCCTTGTAGAAGAACAGGTTCGCTCTTTTAGTAAAAGGCTTGATTATGGAAATTGTTAGCACGATCATTTCTTGCTTTCCAGCGATTAATTAATTTGATTTCATTTCATTCCCAGTAGTAATAAATAAAAGTTTTGCTCAACTGGAATCTGTCAGACATTTGGTCTTTTACTTAGATCAAAACAATGTAATTATTCAGTTAATTTATTTCAGATACTGAATATCTGTATTGCTCTGGGCGAAAAATAGAACGAATGAAAATTGCAACGAAGGAAAAAAAGGTAACAATGGGTTGGTGACGAAGAACTTTTCTTCCATGGCATCACAATACCAATTGTGGTACTTGGGTTTGCAGAGAAACGAAATGGATATTACATCAAGTGCACCGAGTGGGGCACCGGGAGCAACCGGTTTCTCCAGTTGATTTTTCTTATTTCCCTCTACAAGAAGCTTTCCTCTCGTTACGGAAACATTAATATATTTGCAAATTTACAGCAGTGACACAGCTATTTGTCTCCTCACACATTTCAAATTTTATAACTCCACTTCACCAACTTCAAAGAAGTTTCAAACTTGATAGCTCAATGAAATATATGCCTTGTACTCTTATCTGGTACTACCAGTGCATGTTTGAGTATTGCTTATATCCGTTATAAAAGTTGAAGTAGAAAGTTTTACGCAATTAGTACCAAATATAGAAAATAGAATTCTTCAAAAAAACAATTATAATACTGATAAAAAGAAAAACCAAATCAATAAGAAGAATATATGCCTTGTATTATTGTTTGATAAAGTGATAAAATGAAGAGATCAAGAGCAAAAAGAGACCACGAAAAAATTCGAGAATGGAAATCCCGTCTTTTTGACTTATGGATTGCAATGTCCCTCCTCCCTGCACTTAAAGCCTCCCAAATCAATCTAACCGTCTACCTGAAATCTTGCCTAAGGAATCTCATGCTCCTGCAAATTAATATTTTCGTTACGAATGTCGTGGGATTCTGATTTTTCCTATTTTTCAATTCATTACAGAACGCTTTATTTTTTATTTCTTAGCCTTTTCATTCTCTAAGGAGAGAACTTGCTTTACATATTACTTCAGAATTTCATTTTTTTCACTGTGACTCCGACTCCAAGTCCAATTTTTAAGTGATACTTATTTGCGTTTATATCCTGCCCTTAATGCGCAAGTTTTAGTCTGCTCATCATTTAATGATAAGAAACAAGATTTAATGAAAGTTATTCAGTAATCATTTTGTTGTTTCAAAGGTTAATTTTGTATCTTCATAACCTTCCAAACATTCAGAGCTATTTTTCCAACTTGTTTCAATCAAAAACGATCACTCCCGTAAGTGACAGAATTCATTTATGAGCAGTAAATTTATCATTGTTTTCAAATTGACTGCTTGGGACTAAACTCGAAGTGCTTCAAACGAACAAAAATCAGCGATTGTAAATCATTGGGTAAAGTAAAAAAAGCAGTCCGAAGACAAGATGGAGTGGAAGGGCAGAGGGAAATAATTTTTTTAGGCAAACTGCTGGAATTCTTACTGACGGCTGACCTATTAACGTATATAAGGTACGTCTATAATTGTCATTCGATAAATAGTTTCATAATTGTCATTCGATAAATAGTGATATTAATTGCTTTGCATTTGCAGCAATCATTCGATAAATAGTTTCAGTAATAGATCAGTAAACTAATTTTTTCTCTACACTTATCGAATGACTTTCTTAAATACTGTGTTTTCCTCATTTGAATATTTTCATGCAAATAAATTAGACTGCTGCAAATGCAAAGCAATTAATATCACTCACAAAGTATTGGCTTTTTAATTATTTTATGAAATTTAGAAGCATTGATTATTAATTTAAATCTGATTTTCAATGTTCAAGTTGAAGAAATAAGCGAATATCAAGAACATACGCTATACATATGAAAGTACAATCTGAAATTGGTACCTAACTTATTATTTAATACTTAAGTAAAATGAGCACGTCACTTGTATTAAAAAGTGCCGCAAGTAAAGGATAAGGAGTTGCTACATTCTGTCAAAATGTTGCATCTGGAAATGAAATGTCTAGCAAGTTCTTGCCCCATGCAAAAGCAGTTATTTCTTCAAACTTATGCCTTCTGAAAGAACTTTTTTTTGGCATATGAATTGAAACAATTCATTGTTAATATTTATTACGCAATGCAATACTAATTTTTTTAATCACTAATTTCAATTAAATACTTGAATTTTTTTTTTCAATCTCATATTTAGTGAACTTTGACTTATAAATTGCTTGGCTGTAACAAATTTGCTCACACTTGAAAAAAATTGAAACGAGATATAACTTGTAAATAATTATCACAAATCAGCTGTAGTGTGATCACGCAGTTGTACTGATTAACACAACATAAAGAGAACTGACTGGCCTAACGGTGGATAATATTTGCGCAGTATGTGATGATTTTGTAATAATAAAAATACTTGCATAGCTGAAGACAATTTGTGTTTGATTGCTAAGAAAGTGACGCAAAGATTTAATGACAATATCAGATAATTACTGGCAGTATTCATTAATGAAACATTTTCTTTTCACTGTTTGCAATTGCTCTCGGAAGGAAAAATTATGCAGTTTTTGCCTTCACAGCAGTTACCGAGTGATGATACTGTAATATACTTTGGATTTAAAATAATAAAAATTATCAGTTCAATAGTAGTGTGTGATAATTTGCAACTTATTTTTAAAATAATTGCATTTCTAATTTCATTCAATTTAAACTCTTTTTTGTCTTCAATGTATTATTACATATCGTTTCTTCTTTTTTAGAGAAGTGGCAATTTCGCGGTGCCAAAAAATTTGATAAAGAATGATTTCCTTAAATAAAATGATATTCAAAGACTTTTTCAATTTTAATGAGAAGAGAGACGGAGGTGAGAAGGAAAAAATGATTTTTGAAGAGTAAATAGACAATTTTCTGGTGCAAATTTGAAGCATTTGAATTGAAAAACGAAAATTTTTACTCAGTGCAAAAGTAATATTCTGTTAGCTACGTGAATAATTTAAGCAGATACCTCTAAATGATCTCTAAATAAGCTTTGTCCTCTCTGAAGGAAATGAATTACTACCAGCTATTTGGCTAATGCCTCATTTCCTACTGCTATTTTCTCTCAATGGCTAATGATTATCAATCACAAAGTATTACAATCCTAATTTTTTGGTGAAAAAAAATCTAGAACTTCCTTGAAAACGTTTGGGCAATCGATGGAAAATTTCAACTCAACTCAGAAGTAATTGAAACTTTTTCATCGGCAAATTTTGTAATTACATTTAGAAAACTTACTTAATGGAAAAATATTGAATGAAAAGTATTTCTAGACGATAATGCAAAAAATGGCTAAATTGTAACGCTAATGGCACCAAATTTTGTGTAGTTACACAAGAATTTATCAACTATTATGGTACTTTGTAAGTACTGTTATTCAATACATGCTGTGACCAAAAATTTATTGTATTGCTTATTATTAAATGAATTTTTCAGGGTACTTTAGTTTTCAAAAGTCAACCTGATCCTTGATACTGAAAAACTTGGTAGGAATGAGTTATGATATTAACAATATTATATGCTTAAAAGAGAGTGTGACTACATTAAAATATTACAAAATGCATTAGAGACATATAAATATATTATAAAATAATTTGAAAAACAAAAGTATCTATTGGAGAAAAACGCACTTCAGTATTTTTAGTGCGTTTATTTTATATTTATTTTTGCGTAGCCTAAAGAGTTTTATTCAGGCGTGTAGTCATAAGTTTATAGTCGATCAGTTTACAGTATTTGGATTATTTTCAATCTATTAACAATGCAGCAAATTTTACTATAGGAATTTTTGAATAACTGAAGCGTTCTTAATCTGTTACTTAATTGACTGAGAAGTACAACTTAAATGTAACTACGCTACTCACGGAAATTACAGCAAACATAACTTTCGATTCCTCACAGACATTTTCTAGCTATATTTGTGGCACTGGCAGTATTTCCAGCAATTAACATATTTTAGTGATTAGAGAAGCTCTGCTCAAATCAATCTTTTGATCAGTGAAATAACACTGAATGTGCCAATTTTTTTGATAAAGTAATAATATTGATTTTTACCACGAATGCTGGAAAATCGTGAATACGGCGGAGATCCGAAATCGTCCAGCTCCATCATGTTTGTTTATATTACCTTAAAAAAGAGTACTCTCAGTTCATGAAAGCGCAGGGACGATTTTTCAGTACACTCAGAATTGCGTAATAAAGCGCACTGCAATATTCATTTAATTCGGAATCACTACTTTGTAATTTAAGCACTAACAGTTTCGAATTTGAAAGTAAAAGTCAAAATTGATTGCTGACTACGCAATGCAAGAAAATAATGCCCTGTTTTTGGCAGTATACGTACACATCACACGCACATGCAAGTACTCACACAGAAATCAAAAAGATTAATTTCTCAATTGAGAGAGCTTCAAAAAATGAGTAGCGCAGGGAACAGAATTTGCTGTAAAATAATTGCTTTAATTTGTAATAAAAGTATTTGCCGATGCTTCAGCTAGCTTAAATTCCTTACTGATTTCCTGAAGTCGCAGTAAAACTTAGCAAATGTAGAGAATTAACTGACTTTGATTTGTATTTTAAAGCATTCTGAATACACTGAAGAGAAATACTTTTAGTCAGTTAATTCAATTATGCATTGCTTACTTTAAAATTTTTGCTTGTCATTACACGTGTCAGACATCACAAACTACACTACTGCAATGATTATTTTATAAAAATCTTACTTAAATATAAATATTACTGCTGCAAAGTATGGGATGAACTATTTTTGTGTAAATAAGCCATCAAATATGAAATGGTATACAAATGATGCAAACAGTTCGAATTTCCGAGCACAATAATGCAAACAAACTTTTTGATTACTGGATGAATAAATAAATATAAATTAAGATTTCAATTAAAGTTTCTTCTTCTGACATTCAGAAAATATCAAAGATAAAATTAGATTATACAATTTTTAACGTCGTAGAAAAAATTTTCACTGAAACAAGCAATTAATGATACTTAAATACGAATTTCTACAGAAGAACGTGAAAATTATTCTTGCATATATGTTTATGTGTTAAAATAAGAAGAATTATCACAAAATGTCAGCATCATCCAAATATTCTGCAAAAAATTTAATAGAAAACTAAAATTCTGTCAGCGAAAATTCAAAAAAATTGTTGTGGCCTTCGAAAAATGCCATACGATTTTCATTCTTTTCGTGCCAAAATCTCATTAACTAGTAATTTTATACTCATCTGAACTGTTTCTTTACAAAAAATCATTTCATCGAATTTAAATTTATTTTCGTTTCTCGTATCGAACTCTTTCAATTTTACTGCCAGCATCTT